GTCACCAACTCGTGACAACGAGACACCTGAACGCAAACCCTAAACCCTAGACCCTAAACCCTAAACCCTAAATGGTAGATGATAAACCCAAAGAAACTCATCATCACGGCGAAATCCCGCTTCGAATGACACAAATACTGCGCGACAAGCGCGTGCAAACCCTAAACCCTAAACCCTAAACCCTAAACCCTAACTTATCCCCTCTCTTGTGTTAAGGGTTGACGACCTTCTAGGGTTTCTAGGCTTATTAGGGTTTAGGGTCTATAAGGGTTTTGGACCTTATTAGGGTTTAGGGTTTAGTGCTATTGGGGGTTTGCTACGGCGTTGGGTTTACTAGGATTCAGGGTTTGTTAGGGTTTAGGGTTTGACAGGGCTTCGGGTTGCGAGTTCGGTAGGGTCTAGGGTTTAGGGTTTGTTAGGGTTTAGGGTTTAGGGTCTAGAATTTGGTAGGGTTTAAGGTCTAGTGTCTAGGATTCGGTAGGGTTTAGGGTTTAGGGTTTGTTAGGGTTTAGGGTCTAGAATTTAGTAGGGTTTAGGTTTTGTTGGGGTATAGGGCTCGGTAGGGTTTAAGGCATAGGTTTCGGTAGGCTGCAGGCTTTAGGGTTTATTAGGGTTTAGGCTTTGTTAGGGTTTAGGCTTTGTTAGGGTTTAGGGTTTAGGGTTTAGGGTTTAGGGTTTAGGGTTTAGGGTTTAGGGTTTACCTGCCAGTTGCCCAGTTGAGATTCTGAGCCAACCACTGCCACCTTCTCGCCGAACTCAGTTGGGACAACAACACGAAAGAAGGTGCGAGTGTATAAACCCCTCATCTTGTTAGGGTTTAGGGTTTAGGGTTTAGGGTTTAGGGTTTAGGGTTTACGGCTAAGGGCGATGCAGTCCAACCCACCGCCAACCCCACATATCCTCTTTACCCTCCCCCTGCGCCGAACACCGCACCTCCAGCTAAACCCTAAACCCTAAACCCTAAACCCTAAACCCTAAACCCTAGACCCTCGAGCCCTCGTCCCGTAGACCCAAGCCCTAAACCCTAAACCCACTCCCCAAGCCGTAAACCCTTGAGGGTTTAGAAGCCCTTAGGGCAGACCTCTGAATTAGGGTTTAGAGTTGTTATATTAAGAGCAGCCCCGTCACTGACACAAGGGGGCCCCTAGGGTTTAGGGTTTAGGGTTTAGGGTTTGAGTGGGGCCCCTCGTAAACCCTCCAAATGCCTCAAACGTGAAGAAGCAATAGCAGCAAAGAAAATAACGCCGTGTAGGCCTAGTCGTAGTTGCTGCTGCTGCTGCTTCTGCTGCTGCTGCTGCTGCTGCTGCTGCTGCTGCGCTGGGGGCCCCTGGACTAGAGGAGTTGAGGGAGGGTTTTAGGGTTTGAGTGTCTGTGTTTTCGTTTGAATAAGGATGTCAGTGAGGGTTTAGGGTTTAGGGTTTAGGGTTTAGGGTTTAAAAGGAGAATAAACCCCCTATAGCTGCAACACACCCGTTCAAACAGATCCCTCTCCAGCAAGGGTTAATAGAAACTTGTTTATAGTGATGTGTATATATAATGCAGCAGCAAAATAAATTATAATAAAGAACAACATAAACAAAACAAAAGAAAAAGACGAAATTATATATCTCAGGGCATGCGCCTTCCAGGAGCGGCTACCGTTGGCTGAGGTGTCGGGACCCCCAAACCCTAAACCCTAAACCCTAAACCCTAAACCCTAAACCCTAAACCCTAATTTAGGGTTTTACGATGACTTTTTTGACTTTGAAATGCTTATTTATTTCTTCTCACAATCTCTCTTTCTTCTTTCTCCCCTGGATTGGAGCTCTGCGCCCCCAAACCCTAGACCCTAAACCCTAAACCCTAAACCCTAAACCCTAAACCCAAAGTGTGTTTCAGACTACCTCTCTTTCAGAATCTTTAAAAAGACAAACAGCCGCCTAGCGCGCAGCACCGCAGCACATCCGGCTACAAAATATATTATTTTAAATATAATAAACAGCTTAACCTGCCGAACCTGCTCTCATTTCAGCAGACCCTCGCTGTACAGCATACAGCCGAAGGGTTTGATGAGGAGAGCGAGGGTTTAGGGGGCTGAGAGAAACGCGCGGTGTATGAATGCCGCAGGGCCTAGGGTTTAGGGTTTAGGGCTTAGGGTTGACGGTTTAGACGCACAGCGTCGAAGCTAGATTAGGGTTTAGGGTTTAGGGTTTACCGTTGTTCTCCTGCAGCTGCAGCAGGTTGGGCTGCCTTATAAAGCTACCTGGAGATTATCGTAAACCCTAAACCCTAAACCCTAAACCCTCCGTCTCTGCCTTCTTCGCGTTGGCTCAGGCTCGTCTCTACTGGCCCTGCAGAAGCAACAAAAAACCCTAAACCCTAAACCCTAAACCCTAAACCCTAGGAAGACACCCTTACATGGAAGCATAAACGTCTACAAGACGCTTTTAATTCTTAAACCCTAAACCCTAAACCCTAAACCCTAAGCCATTCAAAGAGAGTTTCTCTAAACCGCAACAGCAATAATGCTGTCTGCATCCTTTCTTGTCTTTTAAACCCTAAACCCTTCGCTCTTCAAATCCATATATAAACCCTAAACCCTAAACCCTCGAGAAGAGGCACAGACAGGAAGACATCACCTCCCGCCCTCAGGAGCGCACCTTAAGTAGGCTTATTCCTTCGGCATCGAGGGTTTAGGGTTTAGGGTTTAGGGTTTGCGTTGATTAGATTCGAGCCCTCGGTGTTGTTGTACTGCTGCAGCTGCGGCTTGCAAACAAATCCATTAACAAACCCTAAACCCTAAACCCTAAACCCTAAGGAATTAAATCTTCGTGGGTTTTCTCTTTAAAACCCTCACCCTGTGTCTGTCTGCAATTGACTAGAGGCCTTCAGCTAGCTAGCTAGGTAGCTAGCTAGCTAGCTGTTATTAGGGCCTTCAGCTAGCTAGCTAGCTACCCGTTAGGAAGATCACCAGCTAAGCAACTAGCTAGCTGGAGGCCCCACTAACAGACTGTTATTAGCTAGCTAGCTAGCTAGTATTAGTAAGGCTAACTAGTTAGCTAGCTAGCTAGCTAGCTATCCTTTATTAGCACCTCCAGCTAGCTAGCTGGCTAGCTGTTGTTAAGACCGCTAGCTAGCTAGCTAGCTAGCTAGAGGCATTAATCTGTTGTTTGCTTGGGGGTTGTTGCAGCTTAGGCGCCTTTTTCGTTCTTGCTGCAGCTGCTACAGCGACCGCTAATTACTGCTGCTGCTGCTGCTACAGCTAATTGCTGCTGCTACTGCAGACACACCTAATTGCTGCTGTTGCTGCAGATACAACTAATTGTTGCTGCTGCATCACAGACAGCTAACTGCTGCTGCCGCTGCAAAGACATCTATTTGCTGCTGCTGCGGCGGCGACAGTTAATTGCTGCTGCTGCTGCTGCTGCAGCAATTATGCTGCTGCAGCAGAGAGACTGAAATGTTGTTGCTGCTGCTGCAGAGACAGTGAATTGATGTTGCTGTTGCTGCTGCTGCTGCTGCTACACAGAGAACGAGTTGCTGCTGCTGCTGCAGAGAGAGTAAATTGCTGCTGCTGTTGCAGTGACAGTGAGTTGCTGTCGCTTGCAGCACAGCAGCGAGAGATACAGTGAACTGCTGCTGTTGCTGCTGCTGCTGCTGCTGCTGCTGTTTTTCTTTCTTCATTTGCATGCATCTCTTCTTTTTCTGTCTTTGTTTGTTTGTTTGTCTTCACCACGCCGTGGAGGCGCTGTGAGGTGTACAGACACCTGAGAGAGGCACCAATGGGATCAACTTCTAAGGGATCCCCTAAACCCTAAACCCTAAACCCTAAACCCTAAACCCTAAACCCTAAGCACGGCTCCGTGGTGTCTCCTGAAGAGGCCTATGTGTGCATACACCCCAGCCTGTCAGTGCATACAGAAGCAAATGCCTTTGCTTTAATGCAAACAAACACATTAAAATGCTGCTGCAGATATATTAAGATGGCTTCTGCTGCTGCAGCAGCAGCAGCAGCAGCAACTCTATCAACAGCAGCAGCAGCAGCAGCAAGTGTGTTGTTAGAACCGAGAAACAGTTAGCAGAGTGATAATGCGGTATACAGCCTAGGGTTTAGGGTTTAGGGTTTAGGGTTTAGGGTTTAGAGTCATATATATAAAATTTGGGGTCTAGGTAGCAGCAGCAGCAGCAGCACCAGCTTCGCCGCGCCTATGGATCTGCGCCGCAAGGGTTTAGGGTTTAGGGTTTAGGGTTTAGGGTTCGTTAGGGCCCCACTACATATTCTTTTTTATTAATCACAATATAAAAACCCTCTTTAAAACCTGCTGCCTTCTCCGAGGGTTTGGGGTTGGGTGGGTGTACACCTGGAGCCCCCAGTGTGCTGCAAACCCTAAACCCTAAACCCTAAACCCTAAACCCTAAACCCTAAACCCTAAGCCGTCTAGCGAGGTGTTAGCGCTTGCTCTTTTTGCCTTTCTTCTGTAGGATATGCCTTCGAGCCATTTCTACACAATACACCCCAAACCCTAAACCCTAAACCCTAAACCCTAAACCCTTTTAGCCTTCCTCTTGGTTCAGGGTTTAGAGGGAACACCCAGCAGCCAGCAACTTTATTCTTCTTTCTTTTGTTTTTCTCGCTCTTTATTTCAAGGGTTTAGGGTTTGCTGCCTGCCCCCACACATCCCGCGCAGCAGCAGACTGGGGCCCCCTCCTGCAGCAGCTGCAGCAGCAGCAGCAGCAACATAAGAGAGTCAGCTACCGTGCCGGCAGCAGCAGCAGCAGCAGCAGCATCTCAAGTGAAGGAATCCGGTCCCAGCAGCAGCAGGATACGCTGCAGCTGCTTCTGCTGATGCTACAATTGCTGCTGCTGCTGCTGCTGCGTCAGGAGGAACGAGAGCTGCAGCAAGAGCTGCTGCTGCAGCCACCGGACGCGTGGCAGCAGAGCAGCAGCAGCAGCTGCAGCAGCAGCAGCTGCAGCAGCTGCAGCTGCAGCTGCAGCTGCAGCAGCAGCAGTAGGGTAGGTTATGCTCTCAACCGCCGACCCCCGCGAACTTTTCATGCACCTAAGCGAGCTTGATAGCCAACAACAGCAGCAAGAAAGGCAGCAGCAGCAGCAGCAGCAGCAGCAGCAGCAAGACCACATGTTAACTATGAGCGCGGGAGCAGCAACATTAAGGGGGCATGAATATGTCGCGAGGCAGCTGCTACAGCCGCAGACGCCGCTGCAGCAGCAGCATCTGCTGCAGCCACAGCAGCAGCAGCAACAGCTCGATGAATCCCAGCTGAAGGAGCGCCAGCAGCAGCAGCAGCAGCAACAGCAGCAGCGCAATCAGAAGCTGCAGGAGCAGCAACGCGCCCTTACTGAGCTGCGGCGCCGCATCGTTGCGGGCAAACGCCACCGCTGGCTGCTGCCTCAAGAACCCCCCTCCAGCTGCAGCAGCAGCAGCAGCAGCAGCAGCAGCAGCAGCAGGAAGCCAGCGCAGCTGCTGAAGCTCTGCGACTGGGGCGAGGCTGCATTTTATTATTGGGTTAACGCTCAGGGTGGGGGCCCCCTGGGGGCCCCTCCTCTTGACTTTCCTCCTCGAACTGCAATTGCTTCGCTGCTGAGGAGCAGCAAGGCTTCTGCTGCAGCAGCAGCAGCAGCTAGAGAGGCAGCAGCAGCAGCTGCTGCTGCTGCTGCAGAGGGACGCCCCACACCACCAGGGGCCCCACCCACTTGTGAATTTCCCTCAGCGTTGGTGTATCATGCGCTGCAGCAAACTGCAACAGCAACAGCAGCAGCAGCAGAAGCAGAAACACCTCCTTCAGATGCAGCAGCAAGCAGCAACTGCAGCAGCAGCAGCAGCAGCAACAGCAGCACGCAGAATGTAGCGCGTGATTTGCTGCAGTTTCTGCCTCGCTGCTTTAGGGTGTACTGGGAGCATGAATGGGAGCCCTTAGACATGGAAACAACCAGCAGCAGCAGCAGCAGCAGCAGCAGCAGCAGCAGCAGCAAGCCTGAGGATATAGATACGACGAGCAGCAGCGTTTGTTCCAGCAGCAGCAGCAGCAGCAGCAGCAGCAGCAGCAGCAGCAGCAGCAGCAGTGGCAGTACTCTGCCATGTGCGGTATCTGCTTCCTCTCCGCCTAGCACTAGCACCTCCAGCAGCAGCAGCAGCAGCAGCAGCAGCAGCAGCAGCAGCAGCAGCAGCAGCAGCAGTTTGTTTCGCTGCGCTGTTCAGCTGCTGGATGTCTGCGCCTCTTTAGGAGACGCATGCGTCATGGATTTAAAAATGGGCAGGCAAATGCACAGCGATGCGTCAGACCCTAAAAAGATCAAACGCATGCAGCAAAAAGCAGCCAATCGGTACCCTAAACCCTAAACCCTAAACCCTAAACCCTAATGCCCAAAGACGTGAAGGTAGCTGCAGATGCACTTGCTCCTGCTCCTAAGTTAAACTCTGGCTTACACTTAAATCACCACCCCAAGAATATCAGTTAGAGAGTTTAGGGTTTAGGGTTTAGGGTTTAGGGTTTAGGGTTTAGGGTTTTGCTTGCTGCAGGTCGTTTGCAACTCACGGCTTTGCGGTCTGCGGAGTAGCGGCGCCCTGCGGCACGAGAACGAGGCAACCACCTGCAGCAGCAGCAGCAGCAGCACCTGCAGCAGCAGCAGCAGCAGGAGGAGGAGCACCAACACCAGGAGTAACAGCAGCAGGAGCAGCACCTGCAGCAGCGGCAGCAGATGCTGCTGCTGCTGCATCAGTTGCAGCAACAGCAGCTGCTGCTTCCAATTCCGCAGGCGAATCTGACGCGGCAAGAGACGGCAGCCCAGCAGCAGCAGCAGCACCAGCAGCAGCAGCAGCAGCAGCAGCAGCAGGGGGGTCAGGAGCCTTGTTCCCTCCTCGTTTATCTTTAGTGTTAGCCCCTGCAGCAGCACATGTCTTGAAGACAGACGACGCATTTTTGCGTCTGTTCAAGGGTTTCTTTGGGGTCAATGGGAGCAGCAATTTAACGCTGCGGCTGCTGCAGCGATGCATGCAGCTGCTGCTGCCGATTGTCTCCTTCTTTGAAGCTCAGAGTCTCTTCGCGTTCCACGGTTCTTCTCTGCTGCTTGTCTATGATGCTGAACCCCCTCCTCCTGCTTCTAAGTGCACCC